ATTTCCCCCAAAACTCAGCAGTTCTGGCTGTCTGCCTTCAGGCGATCCACCAGAAGAGCCCCAGATTTACCCAGACCCCTTTGTCCAACCCTAAAGCTCAGGAGTTCAAACCATAGTTAAAATTCCCAAATTCCCGGGTTTTGTGGTTGGTTCAGACATTGAGGCCCATTTCAAAGACATAACACCCATTCCTCCTAAAGACCCCTCACCCATCGAGTTGTTTGTAAGGACATTAGCACCCATCTTTCCTTCCTTTAAGGCATTTTCCCACCCAAACCATTCTGTGATTTAACTGGGATTCTGTATTTTCCTGTAGTTCTTTGGAGAGAAGGGAAGCTTCCACAGCTACCACGAGGAATTTCCAGCTTTTTTTTTTTTTTTTTTTGGAGATACCCATGAACTCCCAATAACCAGAGAAAAATTCCTATCCATCAATACCGCTGCCTGAGCTCCATCACCCACTGCATTTGAACTCAGCAGCATTTTCACCACATGGATGCTCCACTGGGATCCCTTTCACTTAAATTAATGTCATGTCTATTTGTCCCTAAAGGTGTTTCCTTGGGCTTCAGGGAGTTCCAGGAATGTGGCACAGGCAGCTCTTCTACCTCAGGCACCATCAAGGCAGGTGAAGCTAATACAGGTCACAGATCTCCACAGAATAAATCAAATAAAACCCCAAATATCCCAGCACACAACTGCCAGAGCAGTTGGACTTTATTAACTTCTCTGAGGCCACTCACAGATTTCAACACTTAAAATGTTTAGCTAAGGCCTAGAGAAGCAATAATTAAGTGTACAGGAAGGTTGCCTAGTTTTGATATATCAGAACTAAAGGACCATGACAATTTTCTTTGAGCTCACATCTTCCTGGAAACACAGCTAAAAAAAGTGATGGTCCCTGCTTGAGTTCACCAGCAGTAAAAGCCTGATAGTTGATTCATTTTATCCTCACCCAGCAATTACGGGCAATAATTACAGATGGTTTTGCTGAATAGAAGAATAATGCGTCCTAAATGTGTTTATAAATACATAAAACCTAGGAGGAATTCAAAGGGCCATTAGGAGGGATCAGCTAGCCTGAGCTCTGGCCTGCAGGAGTCATTAGTGTTTGTGGACTGCCCTTTTTAGCAGAGCTAAAAGAGCAATTAGGGAGCAGATCAGCAGCCTCCAGCAGCAGCAGGCAGGATGCTGCTAGTCCAAAATGACAGCAACAAGTCCAAGATAAATCTGCAACCCAGCTTTAGGACGTGGAAATCCATAATCAGCAGGGAAAGGAGGTGTGCCAGAGAAGGAGTGACCTAACCAAAACGGAAATGCACCTTTCAACACAGCCAGGTGGCCACAAAACTACTCCAGGTGATCCAATCGGCCCCAAATTCCAACCCATAATCGGCCCCCAATTCCAACCCATAATCGGCCCCCAATTCCAACCCATAATCGGCCCTAAAATTTCATCCCATAATCGGGCCCAAGTTTCAAATCCCCTCAGCCCCAAATTTCAACCCATACTCGGGCCCAAGTTTCAAATCCCCTCAGCCCCAAATTTCAACCCATACTCGGCCCCAAAATTTCAATCCGTGATTGGCCCCAAATTCCAACTCACGATTGGCCCCAAATTTCAATGCCCTCAGCCCAACTGTGTGGCCCCTTGATGTCCCTCCAAGCTGAATTGTTCTGTGGACAATTAGACTCTTGGATCTTGTCAGATCTAAGAATCCAGGTCTTCAAGTCAGGCCCAGTTTACCCAGAAACCGTTAAGCTTGGAGATGAACAAAAATTTGTGTTTCAGGGGTATAATCAAACTTTCTAAGTGCTCACCCTGACAAGCTGGAAAGAATCACCTCAGGCTGAAAGCAGGAAAATCCCAAACGGCAGAAAGAGGGGAAAGGGAGGAAAGTTTCCAAGGAAAACAGGACAGCTTTCTTCACCACCAAGACGACGAAAAGCTTCAAAGTGCCAGCAGACACCCTACCTAAGGTGCAAAGCTCCATCCCAAACCAGAGAAAATTATTCTGACAAACGGTGAAATGAGATGAATCCAGCAGAGCACAGCCAAAACCAACCTCTCCAGCTGAAGCACTTGCGACCAGAAGGGACACACAGAATCCTCTGGCTGCCTTTCTAATCCATCCAGATCCTCCCAACCCCAGGGGCAGGAGCCTGGGAAGACACAGCCCCCAAAATCACAGCATTAAGCACAAACACCCGTGGCTGATTTGTCTCCAGCCTGTTGAGGTTTCATTAATCTAATTGCCACAGGGTAGTTTCCCCTGCACCTGATTGGGCTCCAGCTGAACTCAGACCTACCCTTAATGGGGCTGATAATCCCACACAGACACAAAATTAAATTTAAGCCTTTTTTATTTCATCATTTTCCCCCTGGTATTATTTACAGGAGAATACATCCGTTTAAGAAGGGCTTACACAGAAATAGGGGGCAGATTTTTAAAGAAGGTAGAGTCATATTAAGTTAAAGAAGAAATTATTTATGATGAGGGTGGGGAGGTCCTGGATCCCTGGAAGTGTCCAAGGCTAGGTTGGACAATGCTTGGAGCAACTTGGGATAGGTGAAGGTGTCCCTGCCCATGACAGGGGCTGGAATTTGATGGTCTTTAGGTCACTTGCAACCCAAACCATTCTAGAACTCTGTGTGCTGCTGGTTGGGTGCCAGAGAAGCAATCACAGCCTTGCTGGTTTGTCATGTGGACAACCCTCCCCCAGAAACAAGGCCAGCAAGCCACACGAAAACTATTTTCATTGAACATATTTGGGTTATTTCCTCTGGGGAATCATCTGCCAAAAAAATGCCAGCAAGCAAAACCCACCAAATAAACAGCACCCAGCTCCTGCACAGCTGTGGCTCTCAGCTGCACACAGGCCTTTGTAGAGCCAGAAATACAGTCATCCTCTGCAGCAAAGACAGACACGTAAGGAAGTTTGGATTTATGATGAAAGGGTCAGGAGTTGCAAGCACAGGTTTATTTTCAATTCCAGACACTCCTAGCAGCAATATAAAGTAGCCACGTTAAACTCTCTGGAGCTTCTCTGCCTGGCAATTTCATGTTAACGACTTTGCAGAATGAAGGGGGAGGTGAGGGCAGGAATTCACTTCTAGTGGTGGCTGGGATAGCAGGGAGAGGCAAAGGGAAGGTCTGAAGAGGTGGGAATGATATCAGCAATTCTCACATCCTGGGCAGTTAAAATCCAACCCAGAAAGTCACAGCCAGAGGTAACTTGGAAGGGAATGGGAGCCCTGCAGTTGGATTGCTGGGCTGGGATCAAACACTTCATCATCCCACAACAAATTCCCACTTGCAAATGAGGGAATATTTCTCACCACCACCCTGCCCCAGGGAAACTGAGAAGCACAGGTGGTCTGCATATCCAAAATGTCTGCATATCCAAAATATCTTCATCTGAGATGGAACTGGCAGCTCCCAGGATGTAGAGGGATACAGGATGGGTAAATGAAGGTGGTATAGAATGTAATCTTATCCCCTAAAGAGTTACAGCTGAACCAATTACTAAAGATCAGGAGCAGGCCTGATGTTAACAGGCCACAGCTGTAGCAAATAAGAGCAGTGTTATAAAAGAGTGGATTGCTGGGAACTGGAATCAGTTGGCTGCTGCAAGGGCCAGGAACAGTCAGTGCCTAGAGGAGCTGTCCATGAGAAACATCGAGGAGGTATGAGGCTCTGGTGATATGAAATCCTTGCACTATAATGGTAATATTATTCTTGATATATAAGACAACACCAGGGTACAAATGCCCTCCCCAGTCCCACCACCTGCTTCTCTGCCTGGTTGTGTTTTGCTTCTGTCAACCTCTGTCTGTGTCACCAACCACCTGCAGCCCTGACAC